CTACTAAAAATAGTATATACTACGATGTCTATTTTACCACGGTTCTTTGAAGGATCATGGTGACATCTCTAAAATCAGACACCATTATTTTTGTTTATTTTTTTAAGTAAAAATAGTTTATATATTACTACGACTCGTTAGTGAAACCAAGGTAAAAGTTCCTAAAATTCATGGATTTGAATCCCAATGCCAGAAAGTTTGTGATTTCTTTAATATTATAGTGGTACATTTCTTTTTGTTGATTTATTTTTAAATTAAATATAAACTGAATTTCACTACGGTTGATTAATCCAACCGTGGTGATATGATTTACCTCTTTTTATTTTTATTTTTATAATGAAGACTTTCTTTTTGATTTATTTTTAATTTAAAAATAATCAAGATGTCACTACGGTTGATTAAAGCAACTGTGGTGATGTATTTTTCTTTTATGTTTAAATTTTTAAATGGTTAAAAACTGACATTTTTTTTTATAAAATTTAATTAAATAAATTAAATATCACAACAGTTGGTTTAAACAATAGTGATAAAATATTTTATTCAAAAACAGAAAACACATTTTAACTTGGCATGTCTATTCACTTGTCATTTTTTCATCGTTGAAAAACCATTTGAACCTTAACACATTGAATGTTGAGAAGCCATTTGAACCGTAACCATTATTTCACATTCATTAAAGAAACAAAACATACATACAACTTCACTTGTTCAACATTATTTATGTATCATCAATATCGTTCTTCAATGAACGTGGAAAAAATGCCACCATTATCGTTCTTGGCATAAGGTACAAAGCAACGAGAAATGCAGAAAAATGAAGGAGGAGCCCGAAAAAACTTTCAAGAAAGAACGACGAAACTCACAATATTTATGTCGTTTACTTATTCATCACATTTCTAAGCCGTAAACTTTTATCTACCATGCATGTATAGTAATATATCGATCTTGAATGTTATTGTTGCTGAATATTTATGTTCATGTTATTTACGTTTATGTTGTCGTTTTTGAATGTTTATGTTGTTGTTGTTGAATGTTTATGTTGTTGTTGCTATTGTTAAGGAACATAAACTTAGGTAAGAAAATGGTATATGTGAATAGTATTATAGGGTTAGATAAAGAATTGAATTTGATCAAAGTGGTTCTATATTGTTGTTGTTTCAGTTGTTGTTGTTGTTGAATATTTATGTTGTTGTTATTGTTGTTTATATTATTGTTGTTGAATATTTATGTTGTTGTTATTGTTGTTGTTGTTGTTGTTGTTGTTGTTGTTGTTGTTGTTGTTGTTGTTGTTGTTGTTGTTGTTGTTGTTGTTGTTGTTTAGGAACATAAACTTAGGTAAGAAAATGGTATATGAGAATAACATTATAGGGTTAGATGAAAGAGTTGGATTTGGTCAAAGTGGTTCTATAAAGTTTGAGGATAATATATGTTATTTTATGTTGTTCTTAAGATTGGTTTAATGTTATGGTGTTGTTATTCATCTAGCAAAGATACTCGTACAAATGAAAATTGTACAAATGAATCTCAAATTATTGAGGGAAAAAAGAAAAGAAAACAAAAAGGTGATACAATGATAGCTAAATTAACAAAAGTTTGCAACTCGGATAACAAATTTTCGGTCGAGTTTAATATCGTAACTTGGACATGTTATGGGCCGAATTCTTAGCTTTTTATGAGTTATATTGTGTTCTTTGGACGTAACAAAGTGAACATTTTATTGGATGATTAGAACCAAGTATCAAAAGATGTAAAAGAAAACATATAGACAGACAGTAAGGTATTAATTTTAATTTAAATATTTCGATTGTATTTTTTATAATTACTAATACATACTTATTGACGTAACTGTAGTCAAATTTTTAGTATACTGATGATGATAATTTGAATAAAATGTGGATTACTTATGCTGTTGAGCATTTGAGGGAGTTTAAGTCATAACTCATGTCTATCTACATTACGAAATCTAAGCCTGATCTTGAGCATCCAATTGTGAAATATAATTTTATTGAGAAGAAGGTTTGGAAAAAGATTGTCAAGTCTCATAGTTCTACTGATTTCTTGGTCAGTAGTAATCTTATTTTTCTAATAATTTTATGCTTATGCTTTATAGACACAATCATGCAAATTAATATTTTAGTTATATTTATAACATGTTTAAAGTGAATCAAGAAAGCTAAACAAGGAAAAAAACAAAATACTCCCATGTATTGTCTCGTGGGAGTTATAGAAAACTTGAGTAAATATTAATTAATGAAATAAATAACCAGTGGGATATGAGGACTCCGTGAGTTGTAATTACATCCCATCTCCACCATCACGACATCACAAGTGAAAGATGGCTCGACAAAGACTAACTAAAGAGTTCAATTTAGATGCCTCACGAGTAGTCGCTGAGAAAATTGTAAGTACATCAAGAAATAGCAACCACGACATGATATATTAGTAGAAGCAATTGGAACAAATAAGTATAGTGGACATGTACGTGGTGTTAGACAATGCATCGACTTGAGATTATTCTTTGGTGCAACGAGAAAAAGAAAATAATTGTAAAAGAAAGAGATGGATGATATTGTTGATAAGAACTTAGCAAGTGAAACACAAATTGAAAAAGAAAGCGTTGAAAGATTTAGAGGAGATGTAGAATAAGAAGTTGGAAGATGCATTAGCACAGAAGTATGAAATTCACTTGAAATAGATGGATGAGCTCGTTGCAGTATGTGATAATAATGCTTTATCTGAAATGTATGATATGTAGAATATATAATGTTGAGTCTCTTTTGTGTTGCTATAGGATATATAGTGTTGAATCTGTTTTGTGTTGTTGTTATTTTTATGATGCAACAATTGGGTGTAGGGATGTTAATTTGCATATGTTAACGGGGATCCTTGTGGGATTATCTGGTCGGAGCTCCAAAGTCGACATTTTTTCCTTGGGGATGAGGATGGAGGGAAAAGTTCCCCTGATAACACTTTGGGGTGGGGATCGGGTAGGTACCCTACGCCCTACGGATTCCTCGAATTTGATCATATTATTTAACTTTTATATATAATATAATATATAATTATATGATTTTGCATAATTTTTTTTATCAAAAGTAATTAATATATTAAAAAATGAAGAGGCATTAATGGATAATTTTATTTTTTGTTTCATTGTACAATGTATTGTTTCACTACCCAAGTACCCAACCATATAAAAATACGTTCATTACATACAGTGTACACATCGTCTTCTTTTCTTCTTCTTTTCTCAATTCTTCTTGTCTCCTTTATTTCTCATCTCCTCAGTTCTCATCATCATCATCATAACAACCCCTCTCATGTGTTCATTATGCTTATGATAATTACTCTTCAACTTCAGTATACTTCAATTAGTACTTGTTTTTTATTCAATTAGTAAACTAGTGGTTATGTTATCATAAATGAATTTTTTTTTTGCATTTTTTGTTATTAATGCAAGATTTGTTTTTATTTTTAAAAAAAAAGAAAGATGCAAAATATATGTTTTTAAAAAAATAATAATAACGAAATACTAGTGTCATGATTTTGATCAAAAAATATATAAATTTCTTAAGACTTGATCTCCGTGGGGATTTGGGAAGAGGATGAGGAAAAATATTGCTTCGTGGCGGAAATTGGGGACAAAGAAATTTTTAGGGGCAAGGCGGGGAATAGTAAAGCATCCTCTGCATATTCCCTGTCCCGTTGACATCGCTAATTGGGTGGTACCGTCCATTCGTGTACAAATGAAGATGATAAAATGCCTGAAAGAGTTGTTTTAGGTGGTGCGGACACACAAGGAAGTTGTTCAGTCACCCATATCGATACTCATCATGAGATATTGGTTCCTTCTGAAAATTCAATTAGAAAATTGATATGTCACGTTATGAATTTTAAAGAACTAATTCATCTTCAATTAGACCATGATCGTGAGTTAGAGGTTTTCTATGTCTATCCTCGAGATATAAGAGATTTTATGTTTGGACATGAGTGACTCGATGTAGGGATACTAAAGTTGTGGTGCACCTTAGTAGAATTTCTATTCTAATAAATGTCATTTTTAAATTTGTGCATCATCAGTCATTTTAATGTTAAGACTAACTTATTTTATGAATTTTGTTTAATCATATAGGTACATTCACCGTGTTTGTATAGAATTAAATAAATCAGATATTTATGAATTTTTGAACCCATTTATTATTCGATTTATAGATATTTCTCCAAAAGTGATCGAATCATTCATATCATTACAATTAAGAGACGGAAATAAAAATTGTTACTTAGCACCATTTATCAATTTAAAAATTATGATTTCTCTATTATATTAACTTTCATGTTTTATCAAATACTAATTATGTTCGTATTAATTCGATGATCATTAACAATTAATCTTCATATGCTAATTACGTGTCTTCCTATGTAAATTTATACTTACAAAACTTTTAGTAATATTTTCTTTAATTTTATAGTTATCTTAACCTATAATATTTTTAAATCTTTTTAAATATGGGTCTTTTCCTACAAACTGAACCGAGAAGCACAAGGCCCGGGCAACTGTCCCCATAATGCAGGGTGACGCACACGCGTCGAGAAATAGCTGATAGACTAAAAACTAATTACTCTATTTATGTACTTATATAAATTCAATATAAATATATGTGTAGATTATATTTGAAACGTAGCTCCACAAGATAGCTAGTGTTGACTACAAGTAGTACGATTTCAAAGCTATCACTTTCCGCTAACAGCAAGTTAGACATAGCATTCATAATAACTGCAATGCTTCATATCATAGCCTCCGATCTTTACTACTCAAAAATCAATCAAGATCAACAAACAATTATTTTACATTTTAGAGATGAGATTGAAGTAATACTGACTAACTCCTTCTCAACTACCAAGTAATGGTTCCGTATTGATTCCTACTTCCTTCCATTATATATAGACCACACTTTCTTACTATTTTTCTCATCCTTCACTACCAAATTTCACATTTCACAATGGATTCCAAAAACGTTTTCCTCATCCTTGGTCTATTGGCCATGGTTCTTCTTATTTCCTCTGAGGTGTCAGCTAGAGAATTGGCTGAGACTTCCACTGATACCAAAGAGGGTGAGCTAACTATACATCATTATGAATACATATGATATATTTGCATGAACATTTTAGGGTACTTTATAATCTTGAAGATTTCTTACCCATGATATAAAATTAATTCAAGATTTAAATTAACATAATGTTGTATTTGCAGAAGTTGTTGAAAAGTCAAATGAAGTAAATGATGCCAAATATTTCGGTGGAGGTTATGGTCATGGTGGTCATGGCTATGGTCCTGGCTATGGTCATGGCTACGGTCATGGTGGAAGCTATGGTCATGGTGGAAGCTACGGTCATGGTGGAAGCTACGGTCATGGAGGCTATGGTGGAGGCTACGGTCATGGTGGTGGAGGTTACGGTCATGGCGGCGGTGGTTACGGTCATGGCGGCGGTGGTGGATACAACGGTGGTGGTTTTTCCAACAATGGTAACTGATTATATCATCATGCATGGACATTCTAAGTGTATTAATTATGAATCTTTTGTGGTTATCTAATATATCACACGGCTGTATTTGCAGAGGTTGTTGAAACTTCAAATGAAGTAAATGATGCCAAATATGGCGGTGGACACTACTATGGTGGTGGTCCACATTACAACGGTGGTGGAAACAGGTACCATGGTGGTGGTGGAAGGTACCATGGAGGAGGAGGCGGTTACCATGGTGGACATGGTGGACATGGTGGTGCTTCCGACAATGGTAACTAATGGTGATGCACATTGAAAGTAATAAGTTTCGTGAATAAATAATGTTAGTGTTCAACAAAATAGGTATAGATAGAGAGACATGAATGTTTGGTGGTTATCTATCTTGCCATAAGATGTTTTACAACTCTGTTAATCAGTGTTTAGATTACATTATCACTATGCATATATGTGGTAATGAGTTTGATTTCGAGTTGAAATGATGAATGTGTTATCAAGTGTTATATATCAAATATCATCGTTGTTATTAGTTCTTTGTCTCCTTTTAAATATATAAATCATTATTGCTGATTCGTCTAAGAAAATTCTTCGACTACTTGACAGAACTAGAAATGTCTAATCTAGTTTGACTTGATTTCTGACCTCAAGTAATTTTAATCTCTTTTTAATTAATGACACTTAATTTTGATTGAGTAGAGTTTAAATACACCATTAAATAATATTTAATGTTAACTTTTTTATAAATAAATTAAGTTTTGTGGTTTCAAATTTTAAATTTTGACAATACTTAATGAAATTTAGATGAAATTGTATGGTATGATTCTTAATGTAAAAGGATACGTAATTTTATATCATACCACAATAATTTTATAACAATTCTGATTTGATACATTTGTGAATATTCCTATATTAGTAATATTGCGATCACAATTATAATTAGGAACTACAATTTAAAATTATGATAAATAACATTTGAGACGTGCCTACTCATTCCAAAAAGATATGGAAATTGAGTCTTAACATTAATATTAAAGTCAAACTTTGTAAGAATTTTTTTTATTCAATCTTAAAAAACTCGTTAATAATTATGAGGCAAAAATATAAGTTTTTAAATTATTTTAAAATATCAAGTTAATTTTTTAAGTTTTTTTTAATATTTTATTCTTTTATATTGAGTAACATTTGCGCCGTTGACCTTTTTTAAAATTTTTGTTTCAAAAAAGCTTATGTGGCACAAACGGGGCACATGTGACATTTAACAGCAATGATGTGTCATTTTTTTTTTTTTTTAATTTCACGTAAATTTTAATTTTTTATTATTATTTTTTTAACTGAAAGGACTTGATTGTTATATTTTAAAAACATATGGGACATGAGTGTTACAAATTAAAATATAACTGATACATTGTTTTAAACTATTTTGAATTTTAAACAATAATTGATGTGTTGTTTTACACTATTTTGAAACTTCAACAATTACAAGATAGCATATCAAGCATTAAATAATCTAAATATTGTCAAAAGTATTGTTATAATGTTATACACCAATACATGCATAAACTAATACATGCATAAACTAATACATACAAGGGTATAAATATGGAACAGAAATATGTCACCACCTTTGCATGACCATCGAGCAGAAAACCAATCATCAGGAACACTAAAGGTATAAATATGTCAAAACATGTTATCTTATTATGCACATGACATCCGTAAAGGATAACTCTCATTAAAACGTCAATTTTGTAGAACACTAAAGAACATGGAGTGGAGTGCAACTTTTAAATAAACATATTTTATGCCAATATCTTATTGACGCAATGACGCAAATAAACATAACGATTTTTAAATGATAATACATAATTTTAACATTATTTTTGAAGTTTTAGTTAATTTTTTACTGATTTCATGTTCCACAGTTCAAATGCTACCTACCTATGAAGTTCTACTTAGAAACAATAAGTCTTTTCCCCAACCTATTCCTCTAAGAGTGTGATCATTTTCTAAATATGCTTCTTCAATTATTGAAAACTGATATTCTAGTAAGATAAAATGTGACAATGTATTAATGATATATTATGATATTTTTGATACAGGAAAAGATTAACTTTCTTGTTGATATTTGGGAGCAAGAGGATCTATATGATTGATTGATCAAACAAAATATACGACTTGCTTTCATTTTCTATTACTAAGGTTACTTTTTTCTTTTCTTTTTTAATTTTAAATGAATTTGATTAGATTATTGATTGTATAATCAAGGTTTAATGTTGATTGTTGCAACTAGTAAAATAAGAAATTGTAATTTATTGATGTAATTGTGTGAAGATACTGAATTTATGCTATTGGACTGATGTTTATAACAATAATAGTTTTGTTATGATCCACATGAAATAGAAGTGGTTGTTGAAAAAAGTGATTAGTTTCACTAAAGAAAATTGGGTGATTAGATGAAAAGTTGGATTTATAACTTTACATAAAAAGTATAAACAAGTATTTTCAAACTGATTTTAATATCTTTAGTAATAAATATGATTATCTTTTATCTGTATTTGTTAGATTAGTATGTATTGGTTTATAAGATTATAACAACATTTTTGACAATACTTAGATTATTTAATATTTGGTATGCTGTCTTGTAATTGTTTAAGGTTCAAAATAGTGTAAACCAACATATAGGTTCAAAATAGTGTAAACCAACATATCAGTTATTATTTAAGATTCAAAATAGTGTAAAACAACGTATCAGTTATATTTTAATTTGTAACAATCACGTCTCATATGTTTTTAAAATGTAACAATCAGGTCCTTCCAGTTAAAAAAAACTAAAAATTAAAAAATTAAAATCCATGTGAAATTAAAAAATAAAATAAAATAACACATCATCACTGTTAAATGCCACATGCGCCCGTTTGTGCCACATGTTTTTTTGGAACGACTAATTCTAAAAAGGTCAACGACGCAAATGTTACTTAATATAAAGGATCAAAACATTACAAAAAAAAAACTTAAAGGACTAACTTGATATTTTAAAATAACTTAAAGGACCTATACAGTATTTTTGTCTAATTGTGACAAATCCATATAAGTCACAATTTAGTTTGCATAACACTACAAGAAAACAAACTATTATCCACGTGATATACCAATGTGAAAATTACATCACTAAATATTACATTAGTGACGTGATAAACACATTGCAATAGGGAAAAATTAATATAAAATTGAAAGACAACATTTCAGATAGTGGAAAATTCAAAATTCAAAAAAAAAAAAAAAAGAAGCTTAGTAACGTGAAACTCACTTCACTAACATGTTTCAAAAAATTAAAATCTTTGAGGGAAAAATTAATGGTTGATAAAGAGGTATTATACGACCGATCAAAAATTAAATATGAGATTTGCAGATATCCACATGTTATTCACGTCGGAAGTTTCCTTCATGGGTCCACGTTGCTAAGAGCATGTACAAAAGGATAAAAAACATATAGTGGCATGTTTCCCACATCGAAAGTTTCTTCCGTGGGTTCCACGTCGCCACAAGCAAATAGAAAAAGACAAAAAAAACATGTTGTGGCATATTTCCCACATTAGAACTAGGAATAGGATAATATAAAAAAGTATCGTTCTGTCTTTGTAGGTTACACATGTGATTCTTGTGCTTTTTGACCGTTCTGACACACTTTCATTCCCATGTGATTTCCACGTTGTAAAGTAGTGACATGTTTCCCACGTCAGAACAAACTACTATATATAAAACTTGCACAATTTTCAGAATCTACAAAATATTTTTCTCTTCCTCTCTCAATTACTTCTCTCGCCCCTTCTCTGTTTTTCTCACTTTCTTCTCCCTCGCCCTTTGCTCTCTATTTCTTCCATTTTCTTCTCTCTCAATACCCACAAATCACTTCTTCGTTAACATTTTTTCACCTTTAATATAAGTATGTCAAGGTTTTATTTATTACTTCATTTTATTTTATGATTTCATAAATATAATATTTTTCTCTTTATTTGTTTCAAGATCTAAAACATTCAAGATTTTCAATATTTATTGGAGAAAATTATCAAGCTAAAGCTTCAATTTTTATTCAAGTTTAATATGGTATGCTGCAAAATCTAATAATTTTATAATAATTTTATTTATTTATTCAGATTTTAATTATGAAATTAATTGTTGATGGTTAGTTGTTTGTTGTTGTAGTATAATTATTAAAATATTCAGGTTTTAATTATTAGGTTAAAATTTATATATAGTATTAAATTTTATTAGATCAAATAATTAATATATCATAAAATCCGAAAATAATTTTATTTTAATATATATTATTTTTAAATACAGATTTGATTAAAAACAAATATATCATGTTATGTATTTTTAAATATAGATTTTATAAAAAATAGATTTTATAATATATTATATTATATTTTATAAAACCAGATTTCATAAAAGCAGATTTTATAAACTCATATTTTATATTTTTAAATACTGACTTTATAAAAATAGATTTTATCTTATATATTTTATTTTTAATATATATTATATTATATGTTATTAAAAATAGAATATATAATATTAATTTAAAACAAATATATTAATTTTATAAAAACAAATATATTATATATTAATTAAAAACAGAATATAAAAATAGATTTTATATTATATATTTTATTTTTAATATATATTTTATTATATTTTATTAAAAACAGAATATGTAATACTTATTAAAAACAAATTATTAATTTAATAAAAACAAATATATCATATATTAATTAAAAACTAAATATTAAACAATTCTATTAGATTTTATAGACCATAATTTATGTTCAAAATAAATATATAGATTTATTAAAAATAGAAGAGTACTATATAGATTTTAATTTTATATTTTATTATTTATTAATTTGTTTTATTCATGATATTTATTAATTTTTACATTTTATTAAATACATTAGTGAAGTGAAATTTACGTCACTAAAATTAAAATAGGTTTGGGTTTTGGGACGTGAAAACCATATTACTAATTAGTGACGTAGAAATCACATGGGAATATTTTCATGCTGACACCATACGCAGAATTTAGTCTTGGTTCAGAAAGGTAATTAGCGACATGAATTTCACAAGGGAACATTTCAAAATAATATTGTGGTTTGTGACGTGAAATTCTTGTCACTAATAAGTGACATGAATTTCGCGTGGAACAAAAGTTCTCACAGTTGCTTTTCCGGTGTGCTCTGTCCACGTAAATTTTGGTTAGTGACATAATTTTGGACTTAGTGACGTGAAAATTATGTGAAAAATGACAATATTTTTTATAGTGTAACTATAAATTGTATAAGATATTTCAATAATTATGTTGTTTCACATAAATTAAACTTCTTATATATTTTTTATAATATTTCACAAAACTAATTTGTGCATGTGCTTAAGCAAATAAAGAAGTTTGATTGATCAATTAGGAAAACAAAATATACTGACTAATTGATAAGCCTTTATGCTAATTGTTAAAAAAAACAAAGTGTAGCACTTTTTAATTGATTAAGGAAACTTGTAATTGATTAAGTGAAGTTGAAGTTTAAAGTTTTTTTTGTTTGACTTAAGCCATAAATTATTTTGTCTTTTACCTTGATTTTTTCTTATATAAAGGACAATTCTCCTCCTTTTAAAACACATTGATTTTCTAAATAAAAATATTTTCTTGTCTTACAATTTGGGGTGTAATCGGTTTGGTTTTGATTCAATTTCTATCAAAAAAGTCCGAACTAGTGGTATCTCCAACGATTTGGTTTGGTTCAGTTTGTAGTATTTTTCAAAAACAGAATCAAACCAAACAACATCAACGTACTGCAACTCGTCAAAGGTCTATTCGTGGTTCTTCATCTTCACAACAACCACCATATATGTCTCGTCTTCTCTAAACATATAAGACATAGTCTATTTCAAGATATAGGAAATATGTTTTCACGGAAGATGCCTATGGTACTTCTGAAATTACTTTATCCACTCCTGCAAAAGATTTGGAAGTTCTCGGCGAACTCGTGGTTGAGTTTGACAACTTGATCTTTTAACTACTATCATTCAAGGTTGTGAGAAGTACATTGAATGTCTTTAAGGTCCAATTTTCTTTCATCTTATTCGAGAATTTTGGATTCATGCTAAGACATTTACCCTCCAAGTTACTTCATTTCTTTTTAGAAAGAAGATTGTCATTTCTGAAAAACTGATAGCCAAACTCATTGATCATGATAAGTGTGAAATAAAGTGCAAACAGATAGAGAAAAAAGATCAAATCTGATTAAAATCTCAAAAGAGATTTCCATGATTGCAATTCATGTTAGCAAAATCAAGAACCTTCACCCTATTCTGAGAATTCGGGCCATAATTCTTCTTGGTTGGTGTAAATCACGAAAAGGCAATAAATTCTTCTGACTACATCAATGTTGATCAATAATGTGCTATGAGCAATGTTATTTTTACACTCATAATATACACTAAATATTTACATCAACATTGTTCACCGTTTTTTTATTTATATTTTTTTATAAATAAAAATATTTTTATTTTTAAAATTAATTTTATAACATAAATATAAAATTTGTGTTGTATTAAAAAAAAATATAGGTTATTAACCACATATTTTACTTATAATTCACTAGCGTCCAAATATAAATGAATATTTTATTTAATTTATTATAAAAAAAATACTAATAAATTATAAAAAAATATTCTCTGAATAAAATGTGACACTTAAAACTTATAAAAAGTAAAATAAAATACCAAATAAAATGTTTCTCTCTAAATATATATCTCTCTCACTAGACTCTAGTGATTAATTAAGTTCACCATTTAAAATTAAAATTAGTGAGTATTTACTTAAGAGAAAATGCGAACGTAGTTAAAGAAAAAAATCGCAAAAACTAAAATATAATTGATTGCTCATATAGGATTAAAAACAACAATTTAAAAGATAGTTATGGATGTAATAAAATTACCATATAGTGATAACCATAAAAAATGTTAAATATATCTCTTCTTGAAAATTTTGCAATTAATTTAAAATAAATTTGAAAAGAAGAGTACTGACCTATCCGGTTTATCCATTAGTACATATTAAGAGAGCAAATTAAAAAAAGTAAATAACATAAGAAAATGAAGAAATGAGTGAATTAAATGTTGGCGATCAAGAATTTCTATTTTCCATGTTTAACCTTTCTCCACGGTAAATTTCTTTTAAAATGTTTCTATCAACAACAATAAATATGATAAATAAATCTATCTAAAAAACAAAAAGTATGGCAATTATTATTATTTTTTTTTGCCTTCAATCTGTAATTTATGAATGATATGAATTGAGAAGATCCAACAAATTTTTTTGAAAAACTTGTAGCATATGATAACAATTGTCCATGCAAACATCTTATACTATAGGTTTGAGTTATATAAAGAGTATTGCAGAAGAACCCACTGCAAGTTACTTTTATTTTTACCACATTTATCTTGATGTATATTGGAGAGTGGAGAGTAAACGTATACAATATTCAAAATAGGAACTATTATTAGTAATGCATGAATATGACTTTGGAGGTTGTGTATAAACAATTATACATGTGATGATTTAAAAAAGTATGCTATTTGATTGAAGGAGAAATAAATAGTGGTATATAAAGGTTAAGACTAAGGATAACTTTAAAATAAAGAAGGATTATATTCACACCAAAAAATACAGTAATTTTAATGAATATGTGAAGAAGAAAAATGAGAATTATACATCTAGAGAAGGAGGAAAGAAAGATAAAACCTGGAATTATATTGCAAATTTTAATTATTAAATAAGTAAAAGATAAAAATTGCAGATATTAAAATTTAAAGAATTGAGCATGCACTTGAAGGAGTTATTGTTGGTTATTTAGATATAGTTATTTTTAATAGAAGTATTTTGATAACTGTTTTGGTATTGGTACACGGGTTGGTTACGAGGTTATTAATTAGTAAGTGATTTAGTTTTTTATTTTTTATTTTAATAATTAATAGTAATTGGAACAATTGACAAAGGATAAAATTAGAAGAAAAAAAATCAGTCTATAGATTAACCAAATTTACTACTTTATTACCAATAAATTTCATAACATTAACCAACGTCTAACATTAAATTATGAAATATAATAACCATTCTTTACACTTTATTATATTTAATATTTTAATGTCAGAACTTGATTAATAAAGTAGAAATTTTTTTTAATGAATTATAAGTAAAATATGTAATTAATAACATATATTTTTATAGTTAATATAATAATAAAATTGGTTAATAATAAATTTCATATTTATGTTATAAAAATAATTCTTCAAATTAAAAGATTTTTTTATTAATAAAAAATTAAAAACAATGTTCATTGTATTTATACTTTGAATAATGTTTGATATAAATATTTGGTGTAAATAGCATTATTGTTTGATATTACACGGTTATGCCTAACAAACCAGCAAAAACAGGCACAAAGAAAAAATTCCAACAACTAACCGTTTTATTTGATTTGATATATTACACATGACAGACATAGTGATTTATAGAGTCGTAAAATATGTATCCTATAAAGTGGCAAGATAGATGATACATAACCACAAAGGATGTCTATCTACACCTCTTTTGTTCAACCCAACATTATTTATTTTATTACACTTAACACATGCATGCATCATGATATAATCAGTTACGATCATCAAATCCACCACCGTTGTAACCACCTCCACCATGACCGTAACCTCCTCCTCCACCACCATTGTAACCACCACCGTGACCGTAGCCTCCTCCATAACCACCTCCACCACCATGATAACCACCACCACCGTTGTAACCACCGCCACCATGGTAACCACCATAACCATTGTGGTAACCTCCGCCATGGTAACCGCCATACCCTCCGTGGTAACCACCGTAACCATTGTGGTAACCACCATAGCCATTGTGATAACCACCGTAGCCTCCACCATAATATTTGGCATCATTTATTTCATTTGACTTTTCAACAACCTCTGCAAATACAAATATTTGGCATCATTGATTCAAGAAAAAAACTCCAACGTTATAAAATAGCCTTAAAATGCTCATGAAAAAAAATAGTCTAACAGAGGCTTGCGGAAAAAAAGATTACGAATTTTAATAAATTTTAATGAAATAAATGTGTCTCTTATTTTGGAGACTAAATATAAAATATGTATAGCTAACCTACCCTCTTTGGCATTAGTGGAAGTCTCTGCTAAGTCCCTAGCTGAAACCTCTGATGAAATAAGAAGAACCATGGCCAATAGACCAAGGATGAGGAAAACGTTTTTGGAATCCATTGTGAAATGTGATATTTGGTAGTGAAGGATGAGAGAAGTAGTATGAAAGTGTGGTCTATATATAATGGATGGAAATAGGAATCAATACGGAACCATTATTTGGTAGTTTGGAAGGAGTTAATCTGTATTAATTCTATCTTATCTTTAAATATGAAATAATTGTTCGTTGATCTTGATTGATTTTGAGTAGTAAAGATTGGAGGCTATGAAATGAAGCAGTTCAGTTATTATGTATATATCTACTTGCTACTAGCGGAAAGTGATAGGTTAGAAATCAGAGTACATACAGTCAACCATGGTTTTAAATTGCGCACCGCATTATTTGATTCGGCCGCAATATTGCGGTTGCGGTAGTGTCCATATAAATATTAGGTCGTAATTACAGTGTGATTGTAAATTACGCTAAAAACTGCATAATAACGCTGCAAAAGCCGGATCATAATATGGCAATATGGCAACGACTGCATTTGTCCGCAGCGGACAGCATTAGCATGCAATAATAAAAAACATGTTAAACTTAATACATATAATATAGCATATTATTTTATATTGATAAAAAATAAATTAACGCCACAACGACCGCAATCCGCATCGCAACAGCCGTAAATGTAATGGCTGCAACCGCAGCTACATCCACAGACGCATCAGTAGCTGCAACCATAATTTAAAAGCATGCAATCAACCATAGCTATTTCGGAGAGCGGAATTTTGTCAAATGGTGTAGTCATTTATATTGTCAAAATTTTACATATCAGCTCTACCTAAAGACAGAAACAAAGCCAAAATTACAAAATTTCAAAGGATACCAGACACCAAGAACCATCATCGACATAACCAAATCCTTTAAAAATATTTAGAAACACCTCACCTAGAGAATCATATCAAAACTCGCAAGACAATATTTGATAGAAAATTTAACTATTGAAAAATACATCTTTGGTGATACAATATTACAACGATCATTTTTCAACCATAATCATATCATATTTTTTATGCGCATGTTTCTTCTTTTTATATATTTTATTAAGAAACTTTTCAGTCCTAAAAATAATTGTGGTTTTAAAATTTGAATAACAAGTTTTGAATACCCAACATTAACGTTTTTCCAATTTTTTTAAATAAAAATAAGTGTGTCTCTTCAACGTTTATTTGTTATTTAAAAAATAAAAGTATAACAATTACGGTTGTTTCACTCAACCGTGGTTATATGTTCCATACACTACTAAAAAAAATACATTTAACCTCCGACATGAAATACATTTAATCTTGACTACAGATGCGAGATAACAAATGACGTCATAAAAAATACACACTTTACCTCTCGATTTTTACAAACTGACGGATATGTGGAAATGTCATGGGTTCGATCCATAGGGAAACCTTTTATGAGTTCTAAAATGGCAAAAACACGTGTCCTTGCGATTTTGTAATTACACCGACAGATAAACCACATTTCATCTCGGTTGTCTCATAAAACCAGGGGGAAAAACAAATTTGAGTTTATTAAATCTGATGTGAATTGCTTATTTTACTAAACCCTATATTTAACATATCACTTCTCAAAATTAGTTAGAAAAATAGTTATATGAACATTTGAATATCAACTTACATAGATTCACTAGTGTAAAAATACTTTCTTAGCTGAGGTTTTTAAGTCAGTTCATCAATAACCCGACTTAAGAAGTCTCACGGTGGCAAATTCGTAAATATTTGAAACTTTGTTAAGTCGTGTCTATGTTTAACCGACCTAACAAAGATTAAATAAAAAAAAATGTAATTTACATTAAATTTCTTAAGTCGGTTCTTTTACCGAAATGACTTAAGAAATTTATTTATTAAGTCACGTGTTTATTACCTGACCTAAGAGGTTCTTACAAGACCCCGGTTCGATTCCTACTTAATACATTTTAGTGAAATAAAACAATTATAATATAATATATTTTACAAATTTACTTCTTCTCATTCTTCATTCATTCATTCACGTTTTTCCTTCCTCAATCCCTTTTTTCCAAACCCTAAAAGTTGTTGTATCTTCTTTCCCATTCCTCATTCACTCATTCACATTTTTCCTTCCTCAATCCCTTTTCTCCAAACCCTAAAAGTTGTTGTATCTTCTTTCCGGTTCAATCTGGGGGCTTGGATTTCACTACCGTTTGTGGAGGTGCGGCGTACCTGACATTGTCGCCACCAACGCCACAGTCGCAAACTATTCTACAGTCGCCGACGCAGCCGCGTGCTCCGGTGCAATTAACATTGGATAACGTCAAGATTTTGGAGGGTCCATCCCAGGTCCGATGAAAGGATATGTATATGTTGAAGCTGAAAGGCAATGTGATATAAATGAGGTAGATTTAGTACTGTTGATTTTGATTGGTTTTTAGATAATTAGATATAGATTATTATTTGAGAAAGGTTTATGTTGCTAGTTAAATATGTTTTTATGAGTTACAAATATCATTTCGGGCATGTAAAGGGATTACTGAAATGGTTACCACCGGTTAAATCTGTCTTCCTCTCAAAGTCAAGTGCTTAAAATCTTCAACAAAATTTCCACCGGGTCATATGAGGTTACCTTTCATTGGTGAAATGGTTAGTTTTCTTTGGTACTTCAAAATTGTTTGACGCGCGTCCAGATGATTTCATTAACACAAAACGACGCAAGTAAGTCTATATATCATCACACACAAACACAGATATAAGACACGTCTTTTTTCAGAAGTATCAGTGCTGCATAATATATTGATTATATGATGGTGTTTATAAACAATGAAACAGATATGGCGATGGAGGAGGCATGTTTAGAACATATCTCTTTGGAGAACCATCCATCATAGTATACACTCCTGCTGTTAACAAATTAGTACTATTTTCAGACAGCAACTTCAAACAAGAATGGCCAACTGTTGAACTTATGGGTGTAACTCCAATGGTGGCTGTCCATGTGGGCTATTTACCTTCTTGCAAAGTATCCAATTGTGCTAAAAAAAGCTAAGGGTATTAATAAATTTGTTTCTTATGATTATAATCTTAATATGTGGTTTTACAATAATAACTATTGTTGCAATTGTAGGAAGAGAATATGGCTCTTACAAAGGGGAGAATTGAGGATTATATTACAATGCTTATTTTGATTTGTATTTTGGCCAAGTTTTGGAAGCAGTATGTGGAGGCACAGATGGGTGTAAATAATGATAAAGCTACCAAGCAGATTCTTAGTCGCTGTTTGTTGAACTGTTTTCAAGTTCCTCTCTGGTATGTCGTTTTCTTATTCTGATTATGTCAATGGTTGATATATTAGTTTCCTTTTGGATATGTTGTTTGAAAGGTTTTGATTATATGTGAGAATTCAGTGTTGTTTATCCTTGTTTATAGGCGGTGTTACATTCGTTACATTCGTTTACAACCATGCTTTATGAGACAATGCTTTGAAAGTAGAGAAAGACTCACTAGCTACCCAGATATAGGAGAAGCTGCATTTGGTAGATGGCCGTATTTTTGTATCTGTGAGTTTTTCTATTTCTGTACCATGAATTTGTATGCATTGTTGTTAGTTGACCGATATAAAACCTGATTTAGGTGGAATTCATCACCTTGGAAGGAGATAACCTCACTAGTCTGTTTCCAGGAACATCCTTAGATTTAAGTGGTCTCCATTTAGATTCCATGCACTTGTTTGAAGTTCTTACTGCACTTATTGTTCTACCTACTGTTTGGTTGAAGGATCTCCAAATAATCTCGTATCTATCAGGTTCTCTAAATTCTAAAAGTGATGATTTCTTCTTTCAGATTTTGCAACTTACTTTATCCTCATTATAACTTCAATTTTGATTTTCAGTTGGAGGGATTGTAGCAATAATATTGATTTCTATTTGTGTGTTATCGGTCGGGACAGCAGTTGGATTCCATCATACTGGTCAAGTGATGAATTGGAGTGGCATTCCATTTTCTATTGGTGTCTACGGGTTTTGCTTTGCAGGAAATTCAGTTTTTCCAAATATATACCAGTCTATGGCTGACAAAAAACAATATACCAAAGCATTGATAACATGGTTTGATACTTAACTTTGTTGTCGCCATTGTAACAATATATCAATTTGTTCTTTGTGAACCTGTTATTGCTGAACCCATTTCTTTCTGTACAGTTTTGCTTTGTGTATTTTGATATACGGAAGCGTTGCAGTCATGGGATTTCTCACATTTGGTGACAACATTTTGTCTCAGATAACATTGAATATGCCGGCAGGTGCATTTGCTTCCAAAGTTGCATTGTGGACAATAATAAGTTTCAAATTTTGTTGGTCTCTCTCAATGCTATTTTTATAGTTTCATTCTAGAGAACAAGTTATGTATTCCTGATGTTGTTTTCCTTGATGTTTTTTCAGGTAATTAACCCATTCACTAAATATCCTTTTTGCATAGAATGAATGTTTACTACTACTATATAACAAACAATTGGAGATGGTTTAATCCAATTTAGCAATAAGTTCAGGTTAACCTTTCCTTAATAATTAACAAATATGCTTTATTGATGAATCCACTGGCAAGGAGTCTAGAGGAATTGCCGCCACAACGAATTTCAAGTACTTATTGGTGTTTTCTTCTTCTTAGAACAGTACTTGTTGCATCTACGGTTTGCGCGGCTTTTCTGATTCTGTTTTTTGGTAAGTCTTAGACTTCTTCCTTCTGAAATACATTGACTAAGAGATACTATTCCTATTTAATTACATGATTTGATATGGACAATTCAAGTTTTCTAATTTATTGCACCCTTTTGTTCACATCATCCACATAAGCACTTATGAACATTTATTGAACAATGCTTTAACTTACTCCCTCATTGTGACTAAATTTTGCAAACACCTCTAATTGAAAATAATTTTAACAACAAGGACAAAACGAAAAGAGTCTCAATTTACTATCGCCAATTATTCAAGCTACCTCTTAATAATTACAATACTTCCGCAACCTGGTTTCAGTTACAGAGATAGTGTCGAATTTCC